AACCATATTATACATAAGAGTCTCCCTTTGGGAGATAATCCTCATAAATATAATAAATGTGGGAAAGCTCTTAACCAGTCCTCCAGTGTTGGTGATCATCAGAGAATTCATGAGGCTAAAAACCCATTCAGATGCAATAAACCAGGGACTATGTTTAGTCAGTCATCAAGGCTAAATATAAATAAGATAATCCCTGAGGGTGAGAAAACTTACATTTTTAAGGAATGTGGTAAATCCGTTGACTGCCGCTCAAAACCATCTCAACATCAGCAAATGCATACTGGAGAGAAAATACACAAATGTGAAGAATGTGGTACAACCCTTAAAGACTGTTCATCAATAAATGGACATAGGCAAATTCATACTGCAGAGAAACTTTACAAATGTAAAGAATGTGGGAAAGCCTCTACATTGTGCTCAACCCTTCCTGGGCATCACCAAATTTGTACTGGGGAGAAACCGTATAAATGTCAAGATTGTGGCAAGGCCTTTAACCATCACTCAAGTCTTAATAGACATCACCGAATTCATACTGGAGAGAAACCTTACGAATGTAAAGAATGTTCCAAAGCTTTTCGGTCATGCTCAGAACTTACTCAACATCAACGAATTCATACTGGAGAGAAACCTTACCGATGTAAAGAATGTGGCAAGGCCTTTAACTGGCCCTCACAGCTTACTCGACATCACCGAATTCATACTGGAGAGAAACCTTACCAATGTAAAGAATGTGGCAAGGCCTTTAATTGTCCTTCATACCTTACTCAGCATCACCAAATTCATACTGGAGAGAAACCTTACCAATGTAAACAATGTGGCAAGTCCTTTAACAGGCTCTCAACCCTTACTCGACATCACTTAACTCATACTGTAGAGAAACCTTACAAATGTCAAGATTGTGGAAAGGCCTTTAACTCAGATTCAGCCCTTAGTCAACATCACAGAATTCATACTGCAGAGCAACCTTACCAATGGAAGGAATGTGGCAAGACCTTTAACCAGAGCTCAAGGCTCACTCAACAGCACAGAATTCAGGGTGGAGAGAAACCTTATAAATGTCAAGAATGTGGAAAGACCTTTAAAAGTCAATCATACCTCACTCAACATCACAGAATTCATACTGGAGAGAAACCTTATAAATGTCAAGAATGTGGCAAGGCCTTTAACAGTCTCTCAGACCTTGTCCGACATCACAGAATTCATTCTGGAGAGAAACCTTACAAATGTCAAGAATGTGGCAAGGCCTTTACCCAGAGCTCAAGGCTTACTCAACATCACAGAAGTCATACTGGAGAGAAACCTTACAAATGTCCAGAATGTGGCAAGACCTTTTACAGACACTCAGTCCTTACTAAACATCATAAAATTCATAGTAGGTAGAAACCTTACCAATGGAAAGTGAAAAAATGGCTAAGGAGTGCTCACCACTTCCTGCACATCAGAGAATTCATATTGGACAATAACCTTAGAAATAGAACAGATGTGGCAAGGCCTTTGAGCAGCATGCACACCTTACTAAATATAGAATTCATACGGGAAAGAAAGGTACCTGAGAAATGAATAGAATGTGCCAAAGCCTTTAGCAGGCAAACAACCCTTACTGGACATCACAGAATTCATACTGGAGAGGAATCTACAAATATAAGGAATGTGAGAAAATGGTCGAGGACTGCTCCTCCCTTATTCCATATCAGAGATTTTATATGGGAGAGTAACTATACAAATATAAAATCCAACCTTTCACTGGATCTCCCAACTTACCTAACATCATAGTTATCATAGAGGAGCAAAACTGTAAAATGTAAAGAAAATGGACAAGCCTTTTCTGGAGGTGAGTTCTTAATTATCACAAAATGCATCATAGATACAAGCCCTTGGAACGTAAGAAATGTGGAAAGACCTTCATTTTAATATATACTGGAGGAAATACCAGAGAGTAAATTAGAGAAAGTAAATTGAAAGATATCAATGTTTAGAAAAATATTTAATTGAACATCAAATGCCAATAAATGTCACAGAAATCAAGTAAAAGGAATACATTAGTCATTCTATTCAGACATTACTCTGTATGAAAATGGTTATAAGGAAAAAATCAAACACTTAGAAAATGTATATGCTTTTATGTTTTGAAAGATTTAGTGGATGGACTTTTACATATGTATAATTTCAATATATGTTTATTTTTTCATCAACCCTATTTGAGATTTGTGACTAACAATATTAATGTATTTTACTCTGAAATCACTTCAGAAAATTCTTTTATTCCATTGGGTGTGTACGGCCATGTGGCTGATTGTTGCTACATCAAAGATAATAGATGCCCTGCTACATTAGGTGGGACTCATGCATACCTAATTTTCCATGGCAGATGAAGGACGGGGTAATTAATATACAACATACGAAGTATATCTCAATGGAGATGCTGCTTACGGTTATAACATTGACGTAAGATACCAGGAAATAGGTGTTCAGAATGCTTCTCTATATATTAAAACTAAAGAACTTCCTCAGGATTAGAAATACACGGTTTTACTAATTGTTCTTTCAGGAAAAAGAGGTGTCAGTCCAGTAAACTTCCAGTCTTTATTCATTAAATGCAATCGTTAGAGAGTATGAGTTGATGTGGTTGAAATGAAGAAATCCTGACGGAAACCCAAAGAGGAGAGTTAACTCTTCCCTACAATGCCAAACTGTTGTACCTACAGCTTTCTTAAGAATTTACCTCAGTGTTGAAATTTTTGGAAATAGGTACTCCCACATTTTTCTAACAGCACTTGACTGCTTTTTCAAGTGTGTTTTCTGTATTGGTGATAATAGAGTGGATTTGAAATGCATAACTTTGTCTATGTGTGAAATTAATATATTTTCATTAAGAAAACATACTGGTTTTGTTTTTGTTTTTGTTTGAATTTATTTGACATTGACACAGTGAGAGAGGGAACAATAATAAACATACTGGTTTTGGGGCGCCTGGGTGGCTCAGTCGTTGGGCGTCTGCCTTCGGCTCGGGTAATGGCCCTGGGATCGAGCTCCACATCGGGCTCCCTTCTTGGCAGGAGTCCTGCTTCTCCCTCTCCTGCTCCCACTGCTTGTGTTCCTGCCCCTAAAATCTCTCTCTCTCTGTTAAATAAATAAATAAAATCTTAAAAAAGAAGAGATACTGGTTTTTAACATACTGACATGGGTGTGTAATGAATGACATGTTATCCTACCTCCAGTGTTAACCTGTCTCGTTGAGGGTTGAGGGTGGCGGATGGAATCAATCACCTGTTTGGTAATGGAGTAGAATAATATACCCAGGAATCCATTTCCTTGGTGGTCTGAACGTTTAAATGATGTGTGATCATTTTTCCCCTAGTCTGTCATACGATTTTCTCCTCTTCGTGAATACTATGATATTATTACGGGTATATTACAGAGGTATGTCTATAAGAGGTATTGTTGATGTTCTAGCTCACAAACTCCATGATAGTGTTATTTGGCATCCATTTTGTGTAGCCAGTAGTTTTGCAGGGGCTTTGCACTGACAGGAGCCCTTCTCACTAGTGCATTCCCGAGACAACACGCTGCAGAGTCACGAGTTAATGGAACTTCTGGTATCACATCTGCAGTCCGTCCTGGTGAGCCACCATCTCTCCTTTCTCCCAATGCTTTCCCTCTGTGTCCCTTAGAGAAGACTCCCACAGAACTTCCCTAAACCTGTTTTAGCTGGAATGGTATATTCTGGACTTAGCCTTGGGACTCTAAAGCATTGCACCATGGCCCCAAATTAAAGTATGTGCCCCACTTTATGCAGTGAGGTGGTGTTTTGATGTGTCTATGAAGTATACACTTGAAAGAGTACTCCTTGAAGTACACTGCTTCAAACAGTCTAGCCCAAGTGTTCATTGACTCCTCAATGAATAAAGAAATCTATCATCTCTCTATCTAAAAGGGAATATTTAACACCCTAAAAGGAATGAAATCTTTCCATTTGCCACAACATGCCACAACATAGATGGAGCTAGAGAGTATTCTGCCAAGTAAAATAAATCAGAGAAAGAGAAGTATTGTATGATTTCACTCATGTTTGGAATTCAAAAACCAAAAAAGTGACCAACGGGAAAGAAAAAAGAAATGGAGAAGCAAACCAAGAAACAGACTCTTTTTTTTTTTTTTTTAAGATTTTATTTATTTACTTATTTGACAGAGAGAGTGAAAGAGCACAAGCAGGGGGAGCAACAGAGGGAGAAGAAGAAGCAGGCCACCTTCCAAGCAGGGAGCCCGATGAGGGACTCGATCCCAAGACCCTGGGATCATGACCTGAGCCGAAGGCAGATGCCCAACCATCTGAGCCACCCAGGCACCCAAGAAACAGACTCTTTAACTTTAGAGAACCTGATGGTTGCCGGAGTGAACAAGGGTAGGTGGAGGCATTAAATAAGTGGGTGTTAAGGACTGCCTCTGTGATGAGCATGGAATGTTATATGGAATTGTACAATCACTATTGTACACCTAAATCAAATATTACTTTGTTAATTAAGTGGAATGTAAAGAAAAACCTTAAAAAGTATTTTGTGTTTTACAGATTGAAATTTTTTGGTGGACTGACTGGCAGCAGTTGCACAAAATATACCTTTGCAAACAAATAGAAATATTTATCTTTTCTTCCCTTCCTGATTCCTCCCAAACTGAGAAACTCTCAGTGACTATTCGTAATGTTTATGCCATCATATGTTTCAGCTCTGCATGAACGTGCTAATTAGAGTCATCTTACTGTATTTCCTGTCTTGGTTTTCTCTGGAGTTAGCCTGGCTAAATTCAAAGTGCTTAGCATGCTATGTGGCTGATTATTCTCTGCTTCCCCTGATGGAATGCCCAAATTATGTGTGTCCCGAATGGGAATCCCTGTGAGATGGCTGCTGGGTGCTGAAGTTGACTCTGCCACCCTCTAGTGAGAGGAGCTAATGTCCTTTTTGCATTTGGATTCATTTAGAATCTCATTGCAAGAATGCATCAAGCATTTAGATGGACCGCATTGTGAAGAGTTTGAAAATTCTAAGAGGCAGATGCGTCTGTGCCACAGGCCTGCAATCTGTGCTTCTGATACTAAAATGTAGCCTTGCAGTATTCCAAAAGAAAATCACCTTTTTGTAGAGTCATAACTGAATCTCAAGTGATTTTTTTTTTTAACATGCAGGTAGTTGGGCTGCAAATTGGGAGGTAGATCAGAAACATCCATTCCCATTGCCAGCCAAAAAACAACTGGAACTACACAGGCACAGGAGAACCACAAAGCTGCTCAGATTGTGTGACCCATTAACACCAGAAGAAGACCAGTCCTCACCAAAAGGAGTTTATGATGAAACTCAAACCAAGTAATAAGACATTTCTCTGGTGTCTTCACATGCCGAGAGGTCTTCCCAATCAGATGCCTTATTTCTCCCCCTGCAAACTGAAGGCACCATACTTGAGTTATTTCACTTTTTCCTTCCTAGTGTTCTCCATGCTAACTTTTTGATATATATAGTCCCTGAAACAAAGTTTTTAATTTTTTCTTTTTGGTTTATGACAGTTTAATTCTAGATTTTATTTTGTACCCTTAAAATAGAACAATTGCTTTTTAAAAATTGTTATGAGAGAAAGTGCACCTGTTACTGGTAGTGCTCAGGGAGGGGAGCGGCAGTTTTAGGCAGACCCCACGCTGGGGCCAGAGCCGATCCCGGGGCTCCTAACAACCCTGAGATCTTGACCTCAACCCCATCAGGAGTCAGCTGCCCATCTAACGCTGCCCCCAGGTTCTCCGACTTTTTAATGATTTATTTTCATTGTAGTTAACACAAAGTGTTTTTGGTTTCAGGTGTAGACTATAGTGATTCCACAGTTCTATACCTCACTCGGTACTCATCAGGTAGGTATGTGTACTCCTTAATCTTTGAAATGGAGTCTCACTGAAGGATTAATGCAGCCATTTGACTTTTGTTCCACTTGATTTTTTTTTTAAGATTTTATTTATTTATTTGACATAGACACAGTGAGAGAGGGAACACAAGCAGGGGGACTGGGAGAGGGAGAAGCAGGCCTCCCGCTGAGCAGGGAGCCCGATGTGGAGCTCGATCCCAGGACTCCGGGATCATGACCCGAGCCGAAGGCAGACGCTTAAGGACTGAGCCACCCAGGCGCGCCTCCACTTGACTCTTTTAAGTGGTTTCCATTTCAGTCACCAGGACAAGTATAGGAAGACCACTTCATATTTTACAATGAGAAACCACTCAATATTTTCTGGAATGACTAAAATAAAAAGGATAACACCAGTTTCCAGTGAGAATGTAGAGGAATTAGAATTCTCATATCGGGGCGCCTGGGTGGCTCAGTCGTTAAGCGTCTGCCTTCGGCTCAGG